CAAGGGACCACAGGAACACAGTTCCTTATACCAACTCAGACCAGTGGTCCATCTAGATTACAGTGGTACCTCTGGATGCGACCGGGATCCATTCCAGAGCCCCGTTCGCATCCTGAAGCAAACGTAACACGCATCTGCGCGGGTCGCTTTTTGCCACTTCCGCACATGTGTGTGACGTCATTTTATGCACATGTGCGAGCGGCGAAACCCAGAAGTAACGTGTTCCGTTACTTCCAGGTCGCCGCAGAGCACAACCCGAAAATGCTCCACCTGAAGCGTATTCATCCCGAGGTATAACTGTAGTATTGTCTGCCCTGACTGGCAGCAACTATCCAGAGTTTCAGGCAAGGGACATTCCCAGTCCTACCTGGAGATGCCAGGGGTTGAACCCAATACCATCTGCATACAAAGCAGGTGCTCTGTGACCCTTCCCAATAATAGTAGTAGTAATTTATTGTTTGTACCCCATCCATCTGACTGGGTTGCCCCAACCACTCTGGGAGGCTTTCTGGGTGGTAGAAGGGAGGGTATTATTTGTGCTGGGTAAGGATTTCTATGAGCAGAGAAGAGCCAGCAGGAATGTGTGGGAAGACATTAAAAATTGTCTTCAAAATAATTTTATTATTAGGGAAAAGAAGAAAAACAACAGAACAAAAAAAAACACACACCAAAAAACCATCCTCCAAGATTAGACCAAAGCCAAACCTGAACTGCTTCCAAAACACTATGAAGAGAAAAACGTCCAAATTTGTCCATGCTTATCGAGTTTGTCTTGTTTTCTATAAACTGTTCTTTCTTTACTGATAAACCAGCTATTTGCAGTAGCCACTCTTGAGCTGCTGGAATGTAGTATGGACATTTCCATTCCCTAAAGAGCAACCTCTTAGCAACCAGCAGAGCAGTTTAGGATACAAATACCTTCTGCCTTTGTTAAAAGGCCCCGTAAAAATGGTACGAAACCTAGCCAGTGCTGAATTACACAGGTGTCCATTGCTTTTAAACCTAGTTTGCATATTGGCAATGGAAAAAAACAACCACCATAATACCCTCCTGTTTCTTGTTTCTCATTCGTGTCTCTTAATTATTCCTGATTTCCCATATATGGATTCTGAGTTCCTATTATAGGAAAGAAAGGGTGAATAAGGTAATTAGGATTTCATACTGTCCAACTTTTTTTACCTGAAATTGGGACACACATCAGGTCACATGCCCCGCTTTTTTGGGGGTGAGAGCAAGGCATGGATTGAGAGAGCACAGCACTGGTGCTCTGGGCTTGTCAGAGGGTTGCGCCAGCCAGACTGCTGTATCTTCAGCACTCTGGCGCGACCCTGCTCACGAGTGCCAGATTGAGAGTCTTTTGGTCCCATGGTGCAAGGACTCACACCAGAGCGCCGGACCAAAAAAATGGGACACCCAGGAATTGAACAGAAGCTGGGATTGGCTTGTATGCTTCTGGGGTGTCCTGCTTAAAACAGAGAAGTTGGTGGGTAAGTGATTTGCGTCCTTCCAGTGTTGAAGGCAGTATGTCTCTGAATCCCAGTTGCTGGGAGTCACACATGGGGAAAGTGCAGGCTTCTCAGAGGCCTGTGGTTAGCCATTGCGAGAACAGAATGCCCGGCTAGAGAGGCCTTTTGTCTGATCCAGCCAGACTCTTCTTACGGTTATATGATTTTGACTTTTTAAAACATGGTTAGAGTTGGGAGACTCTGAGTCTAGCCTTGGCATGCGGTGTTTCTCACCCTAGCTAGACAATAATGGGTTTGTTAGATTGCTTATGTATGCAGTGAGGGGTTATGATTTCCCCCCTCCCTCACAACGAATGCATACATTGGTGCCCTCCATTCCGCATATTTGGAAATCTTGTCAAGCTGGAGCTTCAATGTTAACGGAAATGTTAAAAATAGTCTATTGTTGCTGGGCAACTACAGTGAATATTAAGTTGTAAACTGAGCTGAATGCAATAATGTCCTGTGGTATGTTTAGCAACTTTTACCCAGTATGATAAGGGCCTACGGATCTAAGGATTATGTGATGCAGCAAGAAGTAATGGGACAAAAACAACAAAAATGTCAAGCTTATACAACATCATCTGAAACATGGAGCCGGTAGTAAAACAACAATAACAACCCTCATTTGTGTGTACCCTGAAGAAATTAAAACTACACACCAAGGAAACCCAATTTGTGACCGAATGAATAATAAGTGAGTTCTGTAATGTATGTAAATGGTGCAAATGAGGCATGTTCTCTATTTTGCATATTCTCCACCTTGTGAGATTTCTCACTTCTGATAACTAAGGAAAAGGGCAAAAAGACTGCAGCCTTGGGCCTGAATGTCTAGAATTCCTGCTGAAGTCACTTCTAGTTTTGACTATTTCATCAGATGTTGCTAAACCCATTTCAATCCCACCTTCCAGTGACGAAGGCTGGAAACATTCTTTTTAAAAAATCAAAAACCACTGAGATTTCTCAGAACTTCGGGTTTTGCACTCCTTGCCAAGTTCTACATGACTTTTGTGCTTGTGTAGAATCGCAGCATGCACCCACAGCAATTCTAAGGCTACATGCCCTCACTTGTTCAGCAGGTAATATTCTTGAATGTCCATTGTGGGCAGAAGATGGGAACGACTGCCAACTCATTTTGGACCTGAATCAAACTTCCCACTGTATTTATCTATTGAAACTCACATTTCGCAGTTTACACAGCCCTGTGATCTGTTATTACTAAGTTTTATGAGCTTGTGTGTGGCCAAGCTATTCATGAGACACACAGTACATATATGGGGAACTATCCTCAGCCTTACATTCCACCACGAGTTGAGTCACTGCAAGGCGCTGAACCCGTTCCACAGCCTGGAAAGGATATTTGCAATTAACTGTGTGGCCACCCAGCCCCAGCAGGGTGGTGACTACAGGAACACTTTAAACCCTGGCATTAGAACAGCCTGAGGACATGCACCCATAGGGTTCTGGTTGGGATGGCACAGGGGCACAAGGGGCATTCTTTCAAGCAAGGGAATCAAAAGCTTAAAACAATAGGAGGCTACAAGGATGTAAACATGAATGTGAAATGCAGTTGGTTAAGTGATTCAGCTTTTACTCAATTCTGCCCCAGTCCTATTTGTATAGGTGTTAAAGAAAGCTTCAGTAGGCAAGTGGTGTTTATTGCAGAAATGTTGCTTCAACTGATAATCATACACACACACTCACTATTTTGATAAAGAAAAGGTGAAGGGGAGCTTTCTGAGCCACTTGGGCTTGTCGATCGGAAGGTCAGTGGTTCGAATCCCTGTGATGGGATGAGCTCCCGTTGCTCTGCCCTAGCTCCTGCCAACCTAGCAGTTCGAAAGCACACCTGTGCAAGTAGATAAATAGGTACCGCTGCGGAGGGGAGATAAACGGTGTTTCCGTGTGCTCTGGCTTCCGTCACGGTGTCTCGTTGTGCCAGAAGTGGTTTAGTCTTGGCCACATGACCCGGAAAGCTGTCTGTGCACAAACACCGGCTCCCTCGGCCTGAAAGTGAGATGAGCACTGCAACCCCATAGTTGCCTTTGACTGGACTTAACCATCCAGGCGTCCTTTACCTTTTACCTTTTTTAAAAGACCCTGACAAATCATTCCACTGTCCCTACTTTATCATGGGCTGAGGCTGCAATCCAAAAAAGCACATGAGAATATATGCCAGGCTAAAACTGAGTTCTCGTTTCCAGTTCCTTATTCCCATAAAAGTTCAAAACAAGGCTGAATGGGCAATCTGAATAAAGAACTGGAGTTGATACATATGTGTCCCTGGGCTGCAGAATGAGCTTTAGGTTGTCTAATGAGCTTCCTTGACTGAGAAACAGTTTCCTTCAAGGTCTGCAAGAATTCTCTCCAATCCAAACAGCTAGGCTTGGCGTGTTTGTTGTTTCACAATGCTCTTGACCATTGCAAAGAAGGAACTGAGGGGTAGGGTGCAAATTCTAAACTAAGCTTTGGGCTACCAAATATAATACATTCCCATCTCCAGAAAACTCCTCACGTCAGCTGGCTCAGTGGACTCACGCCTCCTATCCAAACTGAATTTCAAGATACATGAGGATTTCCTGGGCAAACTGTTTTGCTGTGCTGGCTAGTGTGGGTTGTCTGCCTGCTTGTGGGTAAAAAGGTTGAATTGTGCAGAAATCTTGACGAGGAGTGTGCTTGTTGATAGCCCATGTCTCTGTAGTCAAGCTACAACAGATAGAAGGTCAACATAACACTGAGTCGTCAAGCCATAGATAAGACTCCTGTTGACCACGGCTGACACCCCATATCTCCACATTGTGAAAATGAAGGAGATAATAGTACAGCAAACACTGCTTTGACTCCCTGCATGCAGTGATAAGGCCAGGAACACAGGTCAAAGCTGCCCACCAGGCCTGACTCATCTCCTGTGCAGGGAAGTGTTGGGTGCAAGGCATATAAAGCAACAATAAGGCCCAGCCTGTCTGTTCAGGCCCCATTATGCACTGAGTTACAGTACAGTGGTACCTCGGGTTACAGACGCTTCAGGTTACAGACTCCGCTAACCCAGAAATACAGTGGTACCTCGGGTTAAGTACTTAATTCGTTCCAGAGGTGCGTTCTTAACCTGAAACTGTTCTTAACCTGAAGCACCACTTTAGCTAATGGGCCTCCTGCTGCCGCTGCCAGCACGATTTCTGTTCTCACCCTGAAGCAAAGTTCTTAACCTGAAGCACTGTTTCTGGGTTAGTAGAGTCTATAACCTGAAGCGTATGTAACCTGAAGTGTATGTAACCCGAGGTACCACTGTACCTCGGGTTAAGAAATTTACCTCAGGATAAGAACAGAAATTGCGCCACCATGGCACGGCGGCAGCGGGAGGCCCCATTAGCTAAAGTGGTACCCTCAGATTAAGAACGGTTTTTAGGTTAAGAACAGACCTCCAGAACGAATTAAGTTCTTAACCCGAGATACCACTGTACTTCCCAATTCCTAGAATCCTCGGTAACATGAAAGGATTCCTCACAACGCTTCTCCAGGGCATGATGGCCCTTGGTGAGTTGTGAGACCTGCCCACAATACAGCTTTTCCCAAGGCATTGTGGGAAATTTAAATGGCAGCTCTCAGATTCAACTGATCAGAGTCCTTCTGTTGCCTGACAAGCCTGATGAGGTAGGGAATTGATGCTGAACAGTCAGAACCCAAATAAAGGAAGGCTTATATGGTATTAAACATTAAATAAAATAATGTCAAATGTCCTAAAAGTTAAGAATAAGGGCCTAGCGCTTTGTGAGTAATCACACTGCCTCATTTGTACTCACTGGGCAAAATACTGTGAGCAAGTTTAGGCGCAACAAAAAAGCCAAGTTTTCTTTTTGTTTTCTAAATGAAAACTGAAAATTCACAGAGGGTGGACTGAGCTACAGGACTACCGCCCTCCATGGGCCTCCAAGTGGTTACAGTCCAGAGTTTAGTCCTGTCCCTAACACAAGAAGGAAATTTGATAAAGATTAAGTTGTTTATGTAAAGGAAGTAAACATCAACTTGTCCATTTTTTCACCCACCAGTGCCTAACATGGACGTGCTGAATATAGCTGCATCTTGCTAGAGCATCTCCATTTCGATTATTCCCAGTCCTGGCAATGCCATGAGGAATGGCTCATGGCTTGCGCTTTGCTTCCTGCTGTGCTGTCTTCCTTTAGCAAGCCCTTTCCTCAATGACTTGCCATTAGTTTGAGAAATCAGGGTTGTTTTACAAAACCATGGCACTTTTGATGGGCTATCAATTGAGGACAAGCATGCCTGATAGTTTACTCAATGGGGATCAAAGAGAAAGGGGATCCGGACATAGGAAATTCTGGGTGGCCTTGTTTGCGTCTGGGTACTTAGAAAGATAGCTAGAAATTGTCCCTGCATAATTAAATCTGTTGTCCCTTCCTCCACCAATCAATTTCCCAATGAGAACAAATCCTCCACAGCTGTCACAGCAGCGACTTCCTAGATTCTTGAAGGAGAAACACTGAATATGGTCTTTAAATAGTAAAACAAGTGACATGGGAAGCAGCCTGTACCAGCTCTGCATTTTTGGAAATGCTCTCCTTACAGAATCATAGAATTGCCTAGTTGGAAGGGGTCCTGGGGGTCATCTAGTCCAACCCCCTGCAATGCAGAAATCTCAGCTTGAGCCCAGCCAGGCTGTACAATCTCAAATGGTGAGTGGAGCTTGAATGGTTGACTTCATATAGTGCCTTCAGTACATATGGAGGTTTCCCCCCGCAAAGCAGGGCACTTGCTCCTAGGAGCAAGCAATCAAAAATTTGAGAGAGGAAAGAGAAGCAGTGGTAGCAGTAAGAGAAAATATTTTAAAAATTTAATTATGTTTATATTCTGCCTTTTGTCATCAAAGGAACGCAAGGTGGTGTACAGAGTTCTCCTCCCCGTTGTATTCTTACCACAACCCTGTGAGGTAAGTTAAGCCGAGAGTGCATGACTGGCCCAAGGTCGCCCAGTGACCTTTATTGCTGCCTGTGTTATGCACACTTAGGATTTGTTTTACCCTGGAGGGGAGGATTGGATATGTGTGGAATTTACCCATCATTTTTAGCAACAGAGAGAGCCTGGGTGGTGAAGCTACTAGAACAGGTGTGGTTCGCCTTTTGCAATGCCTTCTGGGCAATCACGGAAGGGTCATGTGCCAATGGTGAGCAGGGCCAGCAGCCAAAACCGGCAGACAACAACAACAACAACAACAACTTTATAATTCATATGCTGTCCATCTGACTGTGTTGCCGCAGCCACGCTGGGCGGCTCCCAGCAAAATAGTAAAAACACAATAAAACATCAAACATTAAAAACCTCCCTACTCAGGGCTTCACTATACATGGCCACACCTCCCACTCTCTGTATCCTCCCTCTAAGACAAGCGAGAAACAGTACCAGAACTCAAGGACATATTCCAGCCAGGCATAAACACCCAAGGACTGTGTGAAGCAGGGCCGGTGAGGAGTCTGGCCTAGGGAGAGTCCTGAGAACCAGACAGAAAACACCCACATTTGGCTCTCAGTCCTGTGATTAGCCACCCCTGAGTTAGAATGTAGAGCAGCATTAGGAGACACGTGTTACACTTCAGATGCCATCAGCCCAACCAGCATGGCCAATGGTGGTTGATTATGGAAGTTGTTACTGTTGGCATCTGTCTGTCTTAGGAGACAAAAGAGGAGTGCACCTTTGGCTGGAGAGTTACAGCAACTGCTGTGGCTGTAGGTACTGATACAGGAGAGACATGTTTTGTTGCAGCTGGGGCAGATGAAGGCGTCTGGTTGTGCCGCTGCAGATGCACCGTGGCCTTTCTTCTCGCTGTGCTCCTCCCAGCGGTCGTTCCTCTTCTGGTCACTGCTATGGAAGCATGACCCGACTGTCTGTCTCCAGGCACTGCAGCCAGCTCCAAGGGCTTCCCACATAGGACGGCTAATGTTGCCAGCCTTCATGTCTTGTTTGCAGACATCTTTGCAACATAGAATTGGTCTGCCAAGGGACCTGGTGCCTAAAGCCAGCTCCCCAAAGAGCAAACCGTCTTCCATTCTGTGGACATGTCAACATGATGGAAGTTGAAACAAACTAAAAAAATTCCTTCCAGTAGCACCTTAGAGACCAACTAAGTTTGTTCTTGGTATGAGCTTTCGTGTGCATGCACACTTCTTCAGATGCACACGAAAGCTCATACCAACAACAAACTTAGTTGGTCTCTAAGATGCTACTGGAAGGAATTTTTAAATTTTGTTTCGACTACGGCAGACCAAAACGGCTACCTACCTGTAACTAGAACGATGGAAGTTGTAGTCTAGCAACATCCAGAGATAAATGGGCAATCCAGGTTCACAGAGTTGTTGTAATGATGGGGGCAGGGGAGAACATTGCCATGAGCTCCTGAGAGAAAAGGTTTAAAAGCATTTAAAAAATAAACAAACCCTGCTTAGCTGTGGTGAGGCTGGCTCTCAACCTAACCAATCTCACAGGGTTGTTATCAGGCTAGAACAGGGCTCTTTTGTCCTTGGAGAAAGGGTGAGATACAACTGTGGCAAATATTTTCAGATGCTGAGAGCTGGGGAAATGTTAAGCTGTAAAAAGTTAATTCATGCAATCTCTGTTAATGTAATTAATCAGATAATGCACACAATCTCTCTCTGATGTTTACAGTACTCTTCCAAATCTCACCGAAGATCTATCCAGTACATAATGAGCTTGTCTGGGTTTCTCATCAAACTTTATTATGAGTAGACACATGTACTATGCACCCTTTCCTTGGTTTGATTTTTAATCATGTGAGTTACTTGCAAGAGAATCCCCCTGGCTTACAGCCAATTGTGAAAAGCAGCCCTTGTTAAACCAGTCCTGCAGACTGGAGACTGTCTTTGGTATTCAACTGGGCAGAAAGAGTTCTTAGTTAACCAGAGTGAAACCAGATATTTTGGAGAAGGAAGTGATAAAGTGGGGAACTTTGGAACAGAAGGTCACATTCTAGTCTCCTATTAGAAACCAGAACAACCTGTTACATATTTTCATAATTATCATACTGTGGAAATACTAACAGGCTAGTTCGGCAAAGAGGCACTCTTATTCTTTCTAAAATGAATGCTCAAGTCAATGATCGCTCTCTCTCATGTTCAGATCCAATGGAGAGCTGTTTGGCAATAGGTTCTGAGCTGACAAAGGGAAGTACTTTCCCCCCCACACTAAAAGTTATGAGGGTGCCTCCAGACTGTCAGTATTTTGCAAGAGGGATTCAAGCACATTCCACAACTTTAGGATTTAATGTTTAAAGTGGATTAAAGTGCTCTGTTGCCTTAGCACAAAAATGAACCCACTTTTTAAAAAGACTTTTTTTGCAGTTTGGAAAGTGATAGGGGAAAGTGTGGGATGAATGACTGATTAATGGGGAGATGTGTAAACACCCCGCAAGTATTTCAGGATGAAATTCAATTTTAGTTCTGTAATTATATTTCAGCTTTCAAATTGCTTTGCAGTTGGAGTCTTTTAGAAGTTTCTGCTTGCAAGCTTCCCACAGGCAGGTGTGGGTAGCTCAGTTGGTAGAACACAAGACTCTTAGCCTCAGGGTTGCGAGTTTGAGCCCCACGTCGGGCAAAAGCTTTCACGGGGTTAGGCTAGAAGATAACCCTTTGTGCTCCCTTCCAAGTCTACAATTCTGTGATTCTAAGCTCATTGTCATAGAACCACCCTGTAAACAAATCAGAATGCTTGCTCAATAAAGACTGGACGTAGGCTGTGTATATACACCCATTTACTATGAATGCATTGCACTCCCATCACTGGTTTGAGAAGTGGTGTATAAATAACATTAGCTGCAATCCATATCTATAATGTTATTTCTTATGCAGTCCCACACCCCCACTTCAAAAAACTAGCTTTGATCTGAATTGTTTTAAAAGTTGTACACTGCCTTGATATCTTTTGATAAAGGGTGGTATATAAATTGAAATAATAATAATAATAATAATAATAATAATAATAATAATAATAATAATAGACAACTCTGGAATTCCCTCCCACAGGAAGAAGTGATGGTCATCAACTTGGATGGATTTAAAAGGCTTATCTTCCATCTATCTGAATGGGTGCATGTAGATGTTGTGTGCAGGGCATAAAGGTAAAGGGACCCCTGACCATTAGGTCCAGTCGCGGATGACTCTGGAGTTGTGGTGTTCATTTCGCTTTATTGGCCGAGGGTGCTGGCGTACAGCTTCCGGGTCATGTGGCCAGCATGACTAAGCCGCTTCTGGCGAACCAGAGTAGTGCACAGAAATGCCGTTTACCTTCCCGCCGGAGCGTACCTAGGTATTTATCTACTTGCACTTTGACGTGCTTTCGAACTGCTAGGTTGGCAGGAGCAGGGACGGAGCAATGGGAGCTCACCCCGTCACGGGGATTTGAACCACCGACCTTCTGGTTGGCAAGTCCTAGGCTCTGTTATTTAACCCACAGCGCCACCCATTTTGCATTGGCTCCTCCTGCACACTGCTGGCATGCAGCCCCAGGAAAGTTAGCCATAAGGGAATGCAGTGCAGCCCTTGTATTAAACCACTTAAAGTCTCCACTGTAGATATGCATATTCTCTTATTAAAATCACCCCAGAGCAGCTGTCAATCTTTGAAATATCCATCAGTCGCTAACAGTTGAAAGATGGCCCTCCCAGAACAGCAGGCTTATTTTCATCTCCAGTGAAACACTTCTGCATTCTCAGGCTGACTCATCTCTCCTTACTTCATCTGCAAGAGAACTCTTTCAAAGGGAGCTAATTGTCACTCTATGATGAGGGTCTGCCACCTTGCCTGTGCCTGGTGGATTGGCAGAGAGTAAAATGTTCCCATTGTCATCTCTGTCAATACATCGTTCCCTAATAACCTGCAAGGAAATATTCTGATGGGTCCCTGTTAAATACTCCAGACTGGGGTCTGCATTGTGCTGACAGATGAAAGGCAGAGGCGCTGAGGTGCCTTTTTCAGAGGGAAGAGACAGAGAAGGAAAAGCGCTGCAAGCCATTTCATTCATTCTCAGCAAAGGAACTGTGTACACCAGGAAGAAAGGTTGCCTGCTGTAGCCCAAAGCCAAACAAAATATAAAAAAGTACACAGCTGGCAGTGTGCTAGAAAAAAAATGAGAAATATATAGAAGCACTTAGCATTTGTATTTCACATTTAAGGTGCACAAAGTGCTTCAGAATGCATACACTGGTCCAATGCGCATGCCACAATAAACCAGTTTCAAACAAACATGGTTTTAATGTGAACAAGCAGCACAGTGCACCCTGACAAAATATTATGCAGTGATCTTTTTCTGCTTCTCATCGCTCTGCAGCTGCACTGTTGATGAAACAAGCCAGTGTTTGGCTTATTGAGTCATCTGAATCCAGGTTTTGATTTGCCTCTCCAAAACAAAGCGAGAACAAACCTTGGTTGCTGGTTATGATTTGTCTGAAGGAAACAAACCATGGGCCCTGGGTTCAGATGAAACATCAATTTCAATTCAGGCTTGTTTCAACCATGGCGCAGCAGGAGTTGGAGACTTTCTTTCTCCCGCTTTGAAACCATCCCATTTCCTTCAAACCCATTTTCCTCCCTCACTTCACCGGCTAAGATAACGCGTGTCTCTTTGTATCAAAGAACAGTGTCAGGCTTGACCTTTGGGGAAGGACCATAGCTCAATGGTAGTACAGTGGTACCTTGGGTTACAAACGCTTCAGGTTACAGACTCCGCTAACCCGGAAGTAGTACCTTGGGTTAATAACTTTGCTTCAGGATGAGAACAGAAATCGCGTAGCGGTGGCACAGCAGCAGTGGGAGGCCCCATTAGCTAAAGTGGACCTCAGGTTAAGAACAGTTTCAGGTTAAGAACGGACCTCCGGAACGAATTAACTTCTTAACCAGAGGTACCATTGTATAGCGCATGCTCTGCATGCAAAAGATCGCTGGTTCAACCCCTGGCATCTCCAAATTCTGGGTAAGACTCCTTTCAAAACACCCTGGAGAGCCGCTGCCAGTCAGTGTACAATGCACTGCACCAAACATATTAACTGATAACGAATGTCCTGAAGTTCAGATTCAAATAATACATGGGTTTTTCTTTTCTTTTTAACTTTACAACCATTGGAAAAACCACAGGCTGCTTGATATATATATAAATATAGTGATTAGCACCTTCTCAATCGCTCAATAAGCAGAGCGGTTTTGATGTAATCTTTGGATGGTATCCAAAACACCTATATAAACTGCTGCTAAGGCCTGGCAGCATTTATTGCTTGCGAGATAGCCTTGTGTCTGCTCCAGCTTTTAGAAAGTCTTAGCAAAGAATTTAATAGTCGTTGGAAATGCGCATCTAGATTAGATGCGGCCAGTTAAGGTACCTAAAAGGGAAAAACCATGAAAGTACTTGTCCAGTTTGTTGATTTAGTATATACAAAGCAGATTGGCCAGGAGTCAAAAATGACTGCTCTTTTTCTTTGCTTGTTTCTACAAGATCAGCTGGCTTCTCGTGCCTCAATATTCTCAGGAAGAATGTTTGTGATGTACACTGTCAAATACAGAACAAACATATGCTGTATAGATGTATAGACAGATAGATATAGATATCTTTTTTAAAGACCCCCACTAAAAAGTTTTTGAAGTGTATTCTTTCTTAGCAAGAAATAAACTCAAGAGTATGCAATCCAGTTTGGCTTAACTTTTTTTTATTTTTTAACGAAAGCAAAAAATAAATTCAGTTAATTCCAGGAGGAATGTCTGTAGTTTAAGGGTTGTCATCTTTTTGTTACAGCCTCAGCCCTGTGCCTTTAAGAGCAGCCATTTTGCAAAGTGTGGTGATTAGCAAGTGGTAAGACCTCACTCCACAGCTTCTGCTACCAAGACAGAGGATGCAGGTGTGATCTTTCTTGTTTTATCTTTATGCCTCAAAAGCATTTCCTGTATCATTATCGTAAACTGCTTGGAGCAATCTATAAATTTTGTTAAATAATAAATACATACATTGGTTTGCATAAAGCACAGTGGCAGGGCTTTAAAAAAAAAAGAAGAAAGATTGCAAGTTGGATGTCAGATCACTTACCCTTCAACATATCAAGGCGAAAAACAGGACACCACTTTGTGGGGTTTCATCACATGACCCACATGAGATGACGTGAGATCATGGCGCCCAAAATGGCCGCCATGCAAACCCAATGGTGGGGGCTGTTTTTGCCCATTAACTTTTTTCTTCCAAGCCCCAATTTTATCAGCTCCAATCTTTGGGAAGCAAGCAGAAGGCCCAAAGTTCAATCTCCAGGTAGGCCCGGGACAGATTCCCAGTCTAAAATCCTAGAAAGCTGCCAGTTGGCATAGTAGACAATACTGAGCCAGGTGGACCAGTGGCCTGCCTTAATATAAGGCAGCATCCTATGTTTAGAATCAGAATAAATGAGTTGGAAGGACCTTGGTCTTCATCCAATCCAACCTCCCAGGCTTAAAACAGTAATAAGAAATAAACAACCCACCCCTTAAGCATTGAAGGCTACAGGCAAAAGAGTCTCCCTGCTGGTGGCGTCTATGAAATGCTTTCCCCGCGAGAGGCTTGCATGGTGCCAGGTATATTCTCAGACTTTTTAATAATATGTACATTGCCTCGGTGCTGTAATTCGAGTTTTAGTGTTTGCTTTTAATTCTGCTGATGCATTTATACTGCTTTGTGTGTGCTTTCATACTGTGATTGGCTGCTCAGAGCCACCTGTCAATTATCTGGGTCAAGAGCACTGAAAAATGGAATGTTGCCAGCATTTCTTCACCCATCCCTCATCCCTCTGATCATCCAGGATGCTGTGTGATTTATGAGTGTGTGTGTGTGTGTGTGTGTGTGTGTGTGTGTGTGTAAAAGCAGCTGCAGAGGGCAGGTAAATTTGAAAAGTTTATTTTCTTTCATGAACTGTTTTGCCTTCCCCCTTTGCTCTCTTAAAACCGTGCTCTTAATAAACACTCTTAAAACGGGCTGCTGGGGTTTGCTGTGCATCTGTGACTGCTCATGGGAGATTGTGTTCTCCCTGCTGTGCTTAGATCCCTTGAATTCACACTGCACATTTGTGTCTAGGGAGAATTGGAGGAAAGCATGCTGCCTTGTCTCCCAGAAGAGGAAGAGGAGCAGGCTGGTTGCTCCTCATCTCCCTGACTAATATGAATATTTTGTTGTCTTGAGAGCCCTCTGGGAAGGGCTAGTGACAGCATACCTAATGGTCGGAGATGTGAGCTATTCCTGATCCTATGCGGGGAGAAGGGAACTCTCAAGGTCTCTGCTGAGAGTACTTTCAGAGGTGTACTTATGATGGGATGTGTTCATGCATGAACGTGTTTCTTTTCTCCTTCTTTTTGCAATGTTCACATGACATCAGCATCAAAAGTTAATCTTATCAGGAATCCAAATTACCCATTTGCGACATTAAGCCCCTGTCCGGGAGTACCCTTCATCAGGCCATTGGTCTATCTAGCCCAGGGGTCAGCAAACCTTTTCAACAGGGGGCCAGTCCACTGTCCCTCAGACCTTGTGGGGGGCCAGACTATATTTTTGGGGGGGGAATATGAACGAATTCCTATGCCCCACAAATAACCAAGAGATGCGTTTTAAATGAAAGGACACATTCTACTCATGTAAAAACACACTGATTCCCGGACCGTCCGCGGGCCAGATTGAGAAGGCAATTGGGCCGGATCTGGCCCCCGGGCCTTAGTTTGCCTACCCATGATCTAGCCCTATATTCTTTTATAGTGACAGATAACAGGTCTGGGGCTGGAGTCCTTCCCAGCTGTATTCAAAGACAGTAAGAAATGAAACCGGGACCTTTTGCATGCAAGGCATGTGCTCTGTAACTGACCCACAGCCCCTTTTATTTTGTGACTACATAATGTACCTTTGTTAGAGAAAGTACTTTGAGAAGGGGCTCTGGAAGATCTTGACTCATAGGTGGTCTGGAATGGGAAGAGGTGTTACTCATCTGGTGTTATGTGGATTCCAGGCCATTTTAATGTGTTGCAGTGTAATTTTTAATATTTTGTAAACTGCTCTTAGGAGCATTGAAGACAAACAAATAAAAATATAGCATCAGATATGGGAGGTTCTGGAAATGGGAGGTTCTGCATTCACATGACAGTTAATTCCATTTCCCTAACTCTTAATTTTTCCTTTATATTTCACACAATGTAAAAACCAGTGTTTGAAACTCCCCTTGTTCTAGGTGCATTTTGTCACAAGGAATTTCATTAGAGCGAGCAGCTTCTGAGCTCTGGGCGCAGTATGGATAAAAACTGCAGAGTGGAAGGAAAGGAGGTCCTTTTTATGCCTCCCCACTTCCAGCTACTCTCTGAAAACTGGAGAAGAGACCCTAGAGCATAGCTATCAACTTTTCCCTTTTCTTGCGAGGAATCCTATTCAGAATAAAGGAATTTCCCTTAAAAATGGGGAAACATTGACAGCTATGCCCTAGAGTGGTAGGGGGTGGGCAGGGGAAGGACTAGATCAGGCATAGGCAAACTCCGGCCCTCCAGATGTTTGGGACTACAATTCCCATCATCCCTGACCACTGGTCCTGTTAGCTAGGGATGATGAGAATTGTAGTCCCAAACACCTGGAGGGCTGGAGTTTGCCTATGCTTGGACTAGACCATGTGAAAAATGAACATAATATTTTAGCTGCAGTTCATTCATTATCAGCTTTGTATTCTTGTTATTAAAAAAAGTGTGCCTAGACATTCCGTTGTGGTGTCATTTAGCTCCTAGCTTTCATATCTCAGTTTCTAACACTGGTAAAAAGCCCTTCCAGAAATGTAGCGCAAGTTTAGTGCTCATTACTTGCTTCCAGAAAAAGTCCATTTGAAACAACACGGAAATGAGCACTAAAGTTGCATTATTGGGTGGGGGGGTTTGGAGGGGGGGAGCGGTTGGCATCTGCCTGGAAGTGGTGTTTACATCATGTGACTCAAATACCGTGTGGAAATTAACAATTGGGGGAAAGTCAGGGAGATGGAATAAACTGCTGTGTGAATGCAGCCTGTGATTTCCTTTCAAGCCACCATTCTCAAACGGCAACCAAAATGATCCCGAAGATAGAGCATTTCTGTTAGTTCAAGGGGAGGGGGGAGGAAACGCAAGTAAGAAGGGACATGGAAGAGGTTATAGGATTATCCATGGTATGAAGAAAGTCACTAGAGAGAGGTTCTTCTCCCTTTCTCGTAATACTGAAACCAGGCTTCAGCCAATTAAGCTGAAAGTTGGGAGATTCCGGACAGACAAAAGGAAGAGTGCTTCTTCACACAGCTGTAGACTTGGCCCCCACAACGTGGATGGCTTTAAAGGAGGATTAGATGGATTCATCTTGGATAAGGCTGTCAATGGCCATTGACCATGATGGCTATATTACCCCCAGTAGTGGAAGTAACGTGCTTCTGAATACCAGATGCTTGGGATCGCAACCAGGTTGAGTGCTGTTGGGCTCGTGTCCTTGCATCCCATAGGCATTGAGGTGGCCACTGGGAGAGAAAAAATGCCATGCTACAGGGGTCTTTGGTCTGATCCAGCAGAGATCCTCTTATATTCAAATGCACAATGGAACTTCAAAGAGAGACTGCCCTGGGAAAACACTGAATCACAATTCATCAAAAGGCTCAGTTGTACTTTTTTTGGCTTAACACTGGAGAAGGATTTTTCCCCATTGCACTACATGTGTTAATTAAATGCCAAGGTGCCTGTGTTATCACCAACAACTGTTTTGTGAATGGCTACTGTTAATAACTTAATTATCACTCTCTCTGCTTTCTGCATTTAATTTTCTCTGATTTCACAATAAATTTGTAACGGGAAAGAGATACATTCCTATAAAATTCAGCTCCAGGGCAAGGATTTTTCTGTCTGGAATGATCTTCCTTTTGCCACATACAGTATGTGCTTCAGTTTTGTGTTTTCAACACCAAAGTCTGCAACATGATTAAAATTCAGGAGAGTAACAAAGTTAGATTTAAGTAATAAAGGGTAAATTGTCCCAGGAATGCCTGAATCCTACTTACATTCTTCTCTTGGTTTGTGTATGCTGTTGCTCCCTCCACCCATACTGCCAGTTATTGCCCCGAAAACTGTGGATTATCTTTCTGCCTGTATGTTTGTTTCGTCCTTCGCAGATTTTGCATTAATGCTGTTAAAAGTATTTACATGAACTGCTTGCTCCTGGCTGCTGAGAGTAAAGCACTTGCGTCGTCTTTAAAGCCTCTGTTTTAAATCTGAAGCAAAGAGCTTTTCCTCCCCTCTGCTATTTTTTGCTACAAAGCACATCAAATAAGCTCTTCCTGTTCCCGGGGGGTGGGAATGCAATCATTAATTTCTCTTTCTGTAGACCTCGTCATCTTGTACGTGCAAAACAGCATTTGGCTTAGTCTTACTTCACATCATTTCCCTCTGAGCGACATCTGACTTGGAAGCTGCCATAGGTCCACCTAGTTTAGAATTGCCTACACTGGTTGGCAGCAGCTCTTCAGTGTTTGAGGCAGGAGGCTCCCCAGCACTGACTGGAGATGCCTGGGATTGAATTTGGGGTCTTCTGTGTGCAAAGCATGTGATGTGCCATTGAGCTATGGCCTCTTCCTGTTAGAAGAAGCAGTCTCTAGTTTTGGATTGAGAAATGGTCAAGTGAGGTTTTCACTATAATGCTAATAGCACAGTTACATATGACCCAGCTGTTCCGATTTTCCAGAAGTGGCCCCTGTTTCCCTGCTGTCTTGATTCTGGTGTCTCTTTTGTCTGTTTTGCCTTTCCAGGGATGTTTTTGGGGTACCTGTTAAAACTTTTGTTGGTATGCACACTGGCACATCAGCTTGTGGTCGTTTTGCTTCGATCTCCCCATAACTAGCAATTGAGGTAGTAAATGTGTTGGGTGTCGCTGCCATTCTGCAATCAATACAACCAGATCTGCTTTGTGATTAAATAGGCAATTGAAAATTCCTAGGAAACTGTTATGCTTCAGTATCCAGCAAAAGATGGGTTATTTCAGAGTCAATAAATACAGGGAAGAACATTCAGCAATTCATAGCTGGGTGTGCGGAGTTAAGTGGTGGTTTGGACACAGGGATGTTACAGGCATACATGGCTAACCTTTTTTCTTCTGTGAAATGTGGTGGTGAATATGTAATCACAAGCCGTATGATCCTCTTCTTAGGTAGACCGATGGTGACCTGTTATCCCAAATCTCTGGGTGGATTGTGCAGTGAGTGGCATGTGATTAAGTCAACCATGTGGTTTCCATATGCTCACTTTCACATCTGAGCTGTTTCAGTGCACGGCCAAAGTCATTATTCCTGGTCTGTTTCCTCTAAAGAGTCAGCAGAAAACTGCAAAGCAAAGCCCTATGTGGGTGTCCTCCCTCATATGACTAACAGGATCGTAAATCACAAGGTTGTAAAGCACAGAGAGCCTGTGTGCCGTACAGCAGGTGTGTCCTTCCAGTGTGAGTAGCAGGGACATGATGTTTCAGCACACATCAGGGCCGGCGGGTGCTGCCTCCGCTCTCGCCCCCTCTGCTTACATGTTTGTTAATTGTGAGAGGGAGAATGCCCAAATAGGGATAATATGGGAACTGACTGTCGGACTGGGAAGAGGTGGCGAAAGAAGGCAATGTGAATATTGGGTGGAAGTCTGAGGAAATGAATGCTTGATTGGCAAACTGCATTATATGGAAATATGAGCAACAAAGCCCTGATATTTAAAAGAATGAAAAGCAGATTTGGGTGTTTGAGATTCTGAAAGAGAAAGTGCACTTAACCCTTTCCCCCTTTCAGTCATTTTCCTGCCCAAAATCATTTCCCCAAAGTTGTTTTCACTTGTTTCACTTTTTAATATATATTTTTAAACACACATCATTTCCTCTTTAATAACTTGAGATAGGAGGCTAACTGTATGTCTGTAGGGCTCTGTGCACATCTGTAGCTGAACATGTGGAGGCCATGGGTGGATGAAACTCGGGGCATCACCCTGATCCCCTCCCTGCTCCACATGTTAGCTGCATGCATGATTTTCACCTGAAGAGGGCTTGGATGTCGGGGGGCGGGAATAAATATCCCTGACAGCTAGTTTTCTATGCAGGGAGCTTGTCTGTCTGTCTTGAGGAAGCCAGAACTCAGACACAGCAAGTGTGGAAGGAGGGTTGGTCAGTCGACTGGGTGCTGGGGATAACTGGGATTAGCAAACCAGACAGTCCAGTCCAGTACTTACAAAGGCAAGGGTAGCAAGCATGCAGGCATGTCCAGGGCCTGGAAAATAAGGAGGATCAGACATAACACTTGCAGGATCACGCACAGATAACGGGAAGTGAGAAGTGAGTTGTTCCAATTGAGGCCTTTCATCTCTCTTGCCCCAGGCTGCCATGCCAGGGTTTGACATCCTTGCTGAGAAATGGAGTTCCCTGAAAGCATAGTCAGACCATGGGTAGGCAAACTAAGGCCCGGGGGCTGGATCCGGCCCAATCGCCTTCTAAATCTGGCACGCAGACGGTCCAGGAATCAGTGTGTTTTTACATGAGTAGAATGTGTCCTTTTATTTAAAATGCATCTCTGGGTTATTTGTGGGGCATAGGAATTCGTTCATTTCCCCCCCTCCCCAAATATAGTCCGCCCCCCCCCAAGGTCTGAGGGACAGTGGACCAGCCCCCTGCTGAAAAAGTTTGCTGACCCCTGCTCTAGACTCTCTCACCTCTTTGCTGCTTCCCACCTGGTGGCTCCTTGCACTGATGCGTGGCTATTGCAGATAAGATAACCAGATGTAAAGGAGGGCAGGGCTCCTTCAATTTTAACACAGTTTTTAATGCAACTATTAGAGGTGCAGGAGCCCTATCATATTTTTTTTTGCATCTGATCCCCCAGGTCTGACATAAGATCCCACCAGCTCATCCAATTCCTTCACCTCCATCATGCTGGTTGAATCCTGACTGCTACTTGATGCTGAGATTGTGGCAGAAGCTCATTTCGTCTTGCGACCTCCGACCAGCAGTCTAAAGTGGCAGAGACCAGACACAGCTTTACACCCTCCATGAGAGCTAGGCCATAAAGATGGTCGCAAGTGTAGCTGCTGCAGATTCATCTCTTGCATCGTACGCAGCTGACGAAAGACATTTCAATTCTTATATGGCAAACCAAACTATGTTAGGCCACATTTTGAAAATGCCTCTTTAGCTTCTTCAGCTTTTTGACATAGTACTGCTATATGCGTTCTGTGACATGGGATATCCTCTTTCATTGCCGGCTAAAGAGGATGACATGGTGGCGCAGATGTTGGGGCCCTGAGGCCAATGGGAGGCGCACTGAGTGGGCTGAAGGCTTGGCAGCAAAGGGTTGGTGGCACAGGCCTGAAGAATACTTACGTACCCCTTCTTTGGTGAGCAATGAGAAATTCCAGGTCTGCAGTACTTATTTACTTTCAAATAGACAGGTTGACTATAGGTAGAGGCAAAGCTTATGCACCTCTGTAGACTGGACATTGCACCCATGTAAGATTCCGGTCAGACCCTTACAGATCCCTGCTCAGCTCCCTGTCTCTTTGTTTCTGACTCATACCACACACACAGCCTGTCCTTTGCACACAGACACCTGGACTGCATCAACTTTTCCTGGAAAGTGGGAATGTCTGCTCATTTTGAATATTCAAAACATTCCCCGAAAGATCCTGTGTCAAGAGGCAGTTGACTGTTTGGATCCTGTAGTTTACCTAACCAAAGGATGCAATCAGCCAGATGTGGCCCCTTATCAATCTCTTGTCCACATCCCTAGGCTCACAGCAATATTTTAATGTGCTCTCCATGTTAAGCACACCTGATCCCATCTGAATGCATTGCTGCTTTTTGCCACTCTCTTAAAAGGGTGATTGTGAACAAGGTATATAATTTCCAGCTTGACATTTGATGTCCCCTTCCTAAGAAGAAGAAGAAGAAAACATCCATGAGCTGCCATCAGTGGAATAAAATGGACACCTGGAAAATTGCCATGATGCACTTACATCTCTGAATGTATGGTTGAAAGGAATTTAACTTCTGTGGACCTGCCACAGAAAGGACTGAGTTTCTAGCGTGCTTTTGCAAGCCCTCAAAAACTGCATCAGACTGGTCACGTGTGCCCAGTAGGTTGGTTTGAAAATCACGGATTTCAATGGGTCAGTTCTGAGCACGACTCAGGGTGCAACCCTAACTCCTACCTGCCACCAACGGGGGGTGGGGCGGTTGGACCACTGCCACATCTGTAGCCCTTTTGCTCACAGTGGCTGCAATAGAAGGTGCAAGACGATCAGGCCTGATCTGTACCCAATCAGTTAGATTGGGCCTGATGCCACTGTATGGCAGCTGTGAAACTGGGATCCTGCAAATCCTGGGCCACCTTAGGCCCACCCTGTCCTCCCTGAAATCACCCCATTGCAGGAATTCTTTCTGCTAACACCTATTCCTGTATTCAAGGAGAGTCAAGAGGCTGGAAGGGCTTGGCCGGGGGATACCACCACCTACAGTGGTACCTCGGGTTACATACGCTTCAGGTTACAGACTCCGCTAACCCAGAAATAGTGCTTCAGGTTAAGAACTTTGCTTCAGGATGAGAACAGAAATCGTGCTCTGGCGGCGCGGCGGCAGTGGGAGGCCCCATTAGCTAAAGTGGTGCTTCAGGTTAAGAACAGTTTCAGGTTAAGAATGGACCTCCGGAACGAATTAAGTACTTAACCCGAGGTACCACTGTATTTCAACACACACAGCATCCCAGGCTAAGGGAAGGGGGGTTGGATTGTGCTGCCCGCCAGATACTACAACACACACCGTGTGTTACAGAATTGCTGACCTTCCCAGGTGTCCCCCCTTTTTTTGCCGCTGTAAGCATCTATACAAGAGCAACGGTATCATTTATTCATTGAGAGAGAATCTAGTGAACTTTGAAATAATTGTAGTAGAATGCAGCGGCCTACTGAAATAGCATTTCAAAAAGACTCTAATCTGTGGAGTGATAACCTCCCCACGAAGGATCAGCAGCAGCAGGTACAGTGAGGATTATCAGAATTTCAGTGCTTCAGCTCCCTCGACATTAGAAAGAGAGAGGGGGGAAATCCATGAAAACATCTGTGATAAGCAGATTATTTGGACCTGTGTCATATATAACCAACATGGTTTTCGAGGATGTTAACTCCTTCAAGAGAGGTAAACGCTCCCAGGTGGTTGAAAGTGTGTCCATTCTGCCATCTGCGTCTGCTTTAGAATTTCATTTCTGCTGTTTTCTGTGGTTGCTGAGTGCTTTTTCTGTTTGCTGTCGTTATTGGACGTTGGCTTGCTTTTGCCGTTGGCTTGCTTTTACATTTAAATTAGACCTGTAATGTGAACATGGTTTGTTGTATTTATTTTTGGAACATTTTACTGTTGAGACGCGGGTGATTTTTATAGAGGAAGTTCACACAGCAATTAATAGAGGGGGAGCTTTGAGCAAATGCATATTTCTTCTCGCTATGCACGAAGAACTCGGAAAATCTAGTGACGTGCCCCATGTGGCTATTATTTCAAGCACTCTGCTTGGAAGCTGCTGGCATGGGGAGCATTTGTTTAAAGAGAGAGGCTCTGATGCAACCACCAGCGGTTATTATACCCGGGTGATACTCTTCTTGCATTACTTTTCCAGGTCAACGCTCTCCAGAAGTCATCTTCTCCCTTTCTGTTCACTGTTCTACAGTAACTTGGAGCAGGGCTTTCAGAGTAGCTGGCCCCATTTTGCGAAACAGCGTCCCTGCTGAGATACGACAGACACTCGCTATTTCTCCTTTCTGAGAACGACTGAAGGCCTTTTTGTTTGGACACACTTTCCAAGCTGGATGAAATGGCCTTGGGTGTTATTTTTGTACTGTTTTAAGACCTATCTTTAGTTGTTGCATCTGCACTGTTTTAAAAACTATTTTATCTGTTTTGATAGTGTGTTTGTAAATGGCCTTGAGACACATGTAAAAGGTGTCTCGTCCTCACCAGTAATGAAGGAGAAGAAGACAGGCCCGTGTTTCTGCTCTGAAAATGGGTATACATTCTGCTTCCACCTGCATGTGCTTTGCAAGAACTGATAGTGGGTGTTAGCATCTAATTTACCAGCCCCTTTGCTGTGCATTGGGGGTGGGGAGTTCAGTAAAGATTCTGAAGAGGGCTGCCCAACCAAGAGCACTCCAAGGACAATTATCTGAGAAAAATGGGCTTCTTTCTTATACACACTCTCTTAAATACCCAGCCTACATTACTGTCATAATCTCTATGTGGGGCTGCCTTAAAAGACAGGCTGCAAACTTGAGCTGGTGCAAAATGCAAGCCTGTTTGATTATATCAACCCAATTGTGCATCAGCTGCATTGGTCGCCCATTCATTTCTGGGCTTAGTTTAAAGTACTAGTAACTAACCTTTTAAAACCCTGAATGTTTGGGAACCACGTTATTTTCCTACACCCATATGAATCTGCCCAGGTCCTCAGATTGGTCTTAGAGTGCCCTGCTATCTGTTGTGCGCCTCTGATAAAGCGATCAGCTTAGCAGTTACCAGGAACAGGGCCTTTTTCAGTGGTGGCCCTCACACTTGTGGAATTCCATCCATTGAGAATTCTGCTTAGCTCCCTCTCTTTCAGGCTTTAAGTGGACCTGAAAGAATGGCTGATCCTGCTAAGCACATATATATATTTGATAAAGTTTTCTCTAGTATGTTTGTCCGTTGTCTTCTAACATTTTTTGTGAGCTGCCTGAACAGTTGGGTAGAAATAAATTAAATAAATAAACAGTATGCAAAACACTTTTGAGTTCCTTGGAGCACTAATAGGATATAAATACACCTTGTATGTCTTGATAGACATATACCTTATAAAGCTACCCTGGTATGTATGCACATCTACCTGCAATCTCACTTCTCTGGTGCCTGATGCACTTGCTCAAAGAGGCTGTTCCCACAATGGTCCTCTATGAAGTTGCCACCCCCCATGACATGAGATGAGATATACGTTATATATGTTGGGAGTCAGGGTGGGGAGCCTGTAGCTCTCCACATGCTGCTGGATTACACCTCCCATCAACTCAACTAAGCCAACAAGGCCATTGGTCAAGGATGATGTGAGCAGTGGAAGAGGAACCCTCTCCGGCACCTGGGGCGGCGCAGCCCGTACGGACTGTGCATGTGCGGCATCCCGTGCATGCACACTCCATACGGAATGCCACACATGCGCAGTCCATACCACACATCTTTATGTGGCGGTGTGAGCAGGGGCAGGGTGCACCTGCACATTATAATACTGCATTGCTATTATGGAGTACTTTTTATTCTAGTTGCCTTATTTCTTAAAAGATGTTATTCGATACAACGAAGCACTCAGCAATGGAGCCATTTGGAGCAGAGGCATCTGAGCCAAGGTCCTGCTCCTGCTGGCCTTATCATTTATTGATCACGGGGGTTGTTTTTAATACATAGCATTTCTCGATCTCTTTCAAGAAGCTCAAGAGCAGCTTGTATGGGGCTTCCAGGAAGTCTCCTATCCAGGTGGCAGGTGCCAATATGAGATATGCTTATGAAATAACAACGTGCTCTTGGAAACTCTCCCTCTCATCTTCTTCTGGCTTATACTAACTTGAACAAACAGTATGCTACAGAGGCATCCTCCATTGGTGCTGTCCTGACCCCAGTGCATACTGCAGTGGCATAACCAGAGATGCAGCAGAGAACCACATGCTCTCTCCTTTCACACACACATATATATTTCTCTCTCTCTGCAGCATGCTGAGAAATGAGAACGCTTTTCTAGTGCACAGAGAGGAAATGCAACAAGAAGCCCACAGGAAGCAGTGATTGCCACCAACCTAGAAAGCTTCAAAGGAGGATTGAACAAATCCATGGTGGAGAGAGCTATCAGTGGCTACTAGCTATGATGGCTATGCTCTACCTTTCCGGCTGCCTTTCCAGTAATGCTAACAAAATTCAGTTGCTGGAAACCACAGGAGGGGAGAGGGCTCTTGGGCTCAGCTTCTTCTTGTGGGTTTTCCCAGGCATCTGGCTGGCCACTGAGAACAAGCTGAAGTACATGGGCCACCATCCTTGGCTGGTGATGATGGAAGAGATGGTCCTCACCACCAAATTCCACTCCTTTCATAGGACTGTTCTCAGCTGAAAAGCAGGAGAAGCAGAGCAGCAGAGGAGATGGTGCTTATGAAGAGGCTGGCAGCATACATGTCAAGTGGGAAGGAGGAACAGTTGCGCACGCGCGCGCACACACACACACACACACACACACTAGATGAGCCACACACCCTCCCCAATTCTCAGCTTTTATTTAGAGGGAAAACCCCAACCCGAGTCTCTAGCCCTTGTAGAATGCAAGTTATGAGACACACATTGTGCAGGTACTATTCACCAAATTTGTTTTGGGGGAAACTAAGCTATACCTGCCTGTCTGCATTTTTAGACAATGAGTGAAGTCTGAGCAATGGCTGACATTTAGGAAAGCAGCTAATTAGACAAAGAGAAGGCTAGAGTGGAACACCCGTTGTCCAGACTCTAGAAAAGGAACTTCCTGGTTTGTTTTTAAGCCTTCTGTGCTGGTGGAGAAGTGATTGCCACCCCATGGAAAACAACTGAGGGTTTCAGTTGTGACTGGAAAGATGTCTAGATGCCAGAGCTACGCATAGATGGGCAGCAGGTCTACCCACTAAGAAACTATGTAAGGGTAGATCTGGAATACAAGTTTCTCAAAGGCCATGTTTAGCCAGGCCTTGGCACTGCCCATTCACCAGATAGACTGCTCTCTGGTGCTTACTATTAATGTATGGATGTCTGGATATTTATCTATTTGCAATATATCCCCCACACATGGGCGGGGGGGGGGGAGATCCTGTGGGTGCTCATAGCTGACAGTCCAGATTGGTGAGGCCTGGCAGGCCAGCTTTGACCAGCAGTCAGGAATTCCCCACCCTTGTCTTGCCCAACAGATCCATAGAGCACGCCAGGCTTAGGAACTCTGGGGGGAAACAGCAATGCTGGAGTTATTGAAACCACCAGTTGATCTACTCTGAGTAGGGCTAGCATAAAATGCCTCTCAAATATGTTGATAATAGACAATTGCATAATACTGCACATTTCTAAAATGTTTGAACTAACAGATGATAAACATATTTTGTATTCCCCGGCACAGCTGATTTTCTCACTCATTTGAGGTCCAAGAATGTCCAAGTGTGAAACAGGCTAGTAGCAAATAGGTGTAAAATTCTGTAAATGTGAATCATGTGCTAGGATCGGGGTTATCACCCAAACTGGGGGTTTCTTAAGCTGGCATAGGAGTAACCACATGACCCAGACAATCCACATGATTAGTGCTTTCACATTTTATCAGTGATGTAAGAGCCTGGCCATGGGAAGGCATCTTCTTGTTAGCTACTGCATCACAAAATAAATTAACTGGGCCCCAGTGGCATGACGGCATTCTTAATCACATCAGGCTGGAATCTAGACATCTTGGCTTAGCTGCACATCAGCACATAGCCAACACGCAATTGTCTCATGATTTGGTGCAGCTTACGAAGGTTGGCTGAGCGCTGGCATTTGGCCAGTATTTAACAATTCCTTCCAGCATTTTTAAGCGGGCGCAGACAGAGCCCAAGAGCACTAATCCATGTTGTTCACAGCAAGAGCTGTTGTAGAGGAGTCAACACTGTCACCACCCTCAAGGCTCCTTCCTACAGAATCCCCACCACCACAGAACTTGTATTGTTCTTTGCTCTCTTAATTACAGCCCTGTTGCCAAACTTACCGTTACCTTTAGTGACAGTTCCGTACTTCTCCTTTTGTGCTTAAAAGGAAGAGGAATAAGTCCTTACTCTCTTCTGCCAGCAGGATTGTTTTGGCATTTCCTTGCAACAGAATTTGTTTAAAGTGCATTTAAAAGGAACAGAACAGACAACTTACTACTAGACCCTGGACCTGATGGGGCAGTTGGAAACAAGCAATGGGAACTACAGAAAAGAAATGATCTAGACAGAACCTACTTCAAACTCCATCTCATTATAGTCTTTATAAGCTGACCAAATTTTTTTGAACATTTCAGGTCAGAAGGACTGGGCATCCCAGGGTAGGCGATTCAGCCATGCCATTAAGCGCAGCAAACTCTCATGGCAACCTCTGACAGACTGAAATAAGCAGATGGCATAAATTATCCTTGAGTGCCAGTCTCCTCCTTCATCTCTCTCATTTTTACATTACCATTTTTAGAAAGCTTCAAAAATGTGTTTTCCAATGAAGTTCAAAGTTCCAAACTGAACAAAGGGGAGATACTAATAGTTTCAGCTGATTGTTTTTGATGCAAAGTTGTTTTAACTCTTGTGTAGAAATGTTTTAACTCGTGTGTAGAAACTGGATCAGGAAATTGGCACCTTTTATACTCTATGGGAAATGTAGCTTCATGGGCCAAATCAGACCTCCTGGTGGGCCATGATTTGTTTGCAAGCTAGAAGTTCTCTACCCCTGTTTTATAGAGAAGCGACCAGAAAAATCTGCTCTAAAAGGGCATCACTCAGCCAGAACAATAATTTGACAATATTTAGCTCAGCAACTTAGGCTATTATTACATTTCATTTTGGAAAGTTTTCAGATGAAGAATCACCATAGCAGCTGAAACCAACTTTAATGCAATTGTGGGTAAATTGGTAATACAAATCCAAGTTTGTGCACAGCAAACCCTGGCAATTTAAATTTCATTTCTCTCTTTACAACGGCACAGTTCAGGTCTAAATCTGGTTTCACAATTCATGGGAATGTCAAGCAAGTTCCATTGCCTTTGTTGGATTATTAATAAGTTCCTTATATTCTTCAAGATTTCTGCCTTATTATATCTTTAGTAAGTTGAGTTAATCTAGAAATCATTCTTTTTAGGAGCTTTCATCTATAGGGGTAAAAAGTAGCCAAAAGGATGAAATCTCTGGTAATTAACTATCTGAATTCTTTTTTAAAAAAAACCACATTTATTAATAGAAGAAATATCTGAATTCTTCTGAGTTACTTATTTTTCTGCTTGCACTTGCTACAACACAAATTTGTGGAGCTGAATGACAAAGCTGAAACAGTGGATGAATAAAACATACGGTATAGCTTATAGGTTTGTGTGTGTCTGAAATTAGCAGTTGTTAACAAATGTTAAGAGTTGAGACAATAAGCAGAACCCACTCTAACTTCAGTGGTTATAAAACCAGCACAAGCCCTTAACAGTGCCAGGATGTCCATGTTTGGTACCATTAGACCAGAGGTCAGCAACCTTTTTCAGCTGTGGGCCGGTCCAGCGTCCCTCAGACCATGTGGTGGGCCGGACTATATTTTTTTGGGGGGAATGAACAAATCCTATGCCCCATAAATAACCCAGAGATGCATTTTAAATAAAAGCACATATTCTACTCATGTAAAAACACCAGACAGGCCCCACAAATACAGTGGTACCTCGGGTTAAGTACTTAATTCGTTCCGGAGGTCCGTTCTTAACCTGAAACTGTTCTTAACCTGAAGCACCACTTTAGCTAATGGGGCCTCCTGCTGCCGCCGTGCCACCAGAGCCCAATTTGGACTCGATGGTTGGACTCGATGGCCCTTGTGGTCTATTCCAACTCTATGATTCTATTCTTATCCTGAAGCAAAGTTCTTAACCTGAAGCACAATTTCTGGGTTAGCGGAGTCTGTAACCTGAATCGTATGTAACTTGAAGCGTATGTAACCCGAGGTACCACTGTAACCCAGAGATGCATTTTAAATAAAAGGACACATTCTACTCATGTAAAAACATGCTGATTCCCGGACCGTCTGCGGGCCAGATTGAGAAGGTGATTGGGCCGCATCCAGCCCCCAGGCCTTAGGTTGCCTACCCCTGCATTAGATCAACAGTTCCTCTACATTAGCATTCTTTCTCGTGGAAAAGGGCTAGCCAGATTCATCAAGGAAGTTCAGAAGCAGGGGGTAGTTTTTCCTGAAAGATGGTTTAAGCAAAATAAGCATTCCTCAGCACCTTGTAGTCTGGGGTATACTCGGACTGGTCCGCTCTGAGGTTTTTTACAATCAAGCAGTGTATAAATGTTATGAAATAAATTAAATGTAATAAAAATCCAATTAGCAGGTCAACAAGTACATAACAATATTGCTTTATTCAAGTATCAATTTTTCTTCTGTACTTTTACTCATCAGTGAACATGAGGTCCAAAAGTAATTTAACTACTTTGAATTACTGTTGTAATCCTTAAAAATTCGATAGGATACAAGAAAAATATAAATCTGACTGCACAGTTATACATACGGCATGGCTATACAGCCGGTGTTTTCATTACACAGTTGCATCCCCAACTATTGTTTAAGGCTGCATTCCATATATGCAAACTTACAGTACTTCTGGTGTATTGATTGATAAGGAACAACAGAAGGCCTGTGGAGGGTCATACAGTTTTCGGTATGAACATATGGTTAATGCCACATGTAACAAAGGAAAGTAAATTTAATTCAAATGGTAGTTCTAAGAAATATGACTAATTCAATGATACAGTGATTACATTATTTCCTGTTGCTCTCAACCAGTTATTATTAAAGTTATGCATTATCAGTCACATATCACACTATGTGTTACTTAGAAATGCATAGGCATACAGTATAAATGTAGCTTTTCCTATAGGAGGAAATTATGGAAAGGCAGTTGTCAAAGAACAAAAGCATTAAGATTTGAACATGTATTAAACAGGGTCACTGTGTGGTGTCATTGTACGCATGCAGGAAATACAAAAAGCAATGAACACAGGCTGGTTTACCAGGAGTCCAGCTTCACTGGGGAAGCTTCACACACCTTCCAAGGATGTGTGCAAAGAGTCAGGATTAGCTGTTCATAAATAATATAGTTGGGTATGTGTGTAATTTTAATATTTAGTCCTCTCTACTGGACGGTGACTTTAATTTAGAATGGAAATTCTCCATCATGCATTTACTGAGGAAACACAATGTGTGTGAACTAAAATCAGAAAGTGGAACAACTTTACAAAATATTTTTGAGACACTTTCAGTGTGGGTGTGAAGTAGTATGGCCTGTTTGGAAGTATAAAACAAAATTATTATGAGATTTACTCATAAATTATGAGTGTGGAGACCAATAATAAATACACTACTGGTTTAAAAACTAATTAAAGTGCACTTCTAAGAATATGTGGGTGTGAGGAGGTGGTTTATGGATGATGGAACTACGTACTGGGTTTTCTGTTGTCTCACCCACATCGACACTCAGCCTTGCAGAGAGGAGAGTAATTAATTATAGTTGTGTGAGTGAGAAAGAAAAGAGACATATACAGTATTTCAAACTATATGTCTTTGCTGAGAGGTTGGACACAAGGACACATGCATACCAGCATTTCCAGTTTCCCCATAGCAACCATGGAACACCATTCAAGAAAGCTGAAGGGCATTTTCCAAAAGTTGTAAGGTTCAGTAAAATCCATCCAGTAGAATCCAGTGACTAGTACTTGCTGGGAAAAACAGGTAGAAGTTGACTTGCTTGAATGCTCTTCTTTAAAACAAAACTCCCTTGTGTGGAGAATGGCTCAGTTCAGCTTTCTCCCTGGCATGTTATCTTTTTCTTTGTGGAGCTGTATTGAAACATAGGAACACCTATCTGCGTCCACACTATAATCTGGGTATAACCCAATGGAGTAGGGAAGCGCCTATTTCTTTTTAGATGTTTAAAGACCAAAGTTTAACCTTTGTGAAAATGTCCAATTCAACATTTTTACTAGAAAATAGTTAACAAAACCTACAGTATAAAGTTTATAAAAGAAACTACACATCATTCTTCAGTAAGATAAGTTTTCTTTTATTCTTCTAATTCAATGTATTATAGGGCATCTTATACTTTACTAGGTTGTTTTACATTGGATTAGATTGCTAAATCCTCCTTCCCCAGGAATACTATAAAAGTTGCATACCAAGCAAAAATTCAGCTTTTCTCATGGATGCCTAAGCCCACCTATTTGGGGAAGACGTCTAACTCTGAATAAACATGTTTAGGAGAGCACTCCCCCCCCCCCATGTTTTTAAAAGTGCACTAATTTTCAGCTGACATAATGCCGGAGGCAATAAATAAAGCCTAACTAAAGAACAGGTATTACTATGTAAATAACTAAAAATAATAATTTGGGGGCACCTACCGTCAAGGCTAACAGACTGTGACAGAAGTGGGTTCCAGTGCCAAAAAAAAGGGGGTGGGTGGGCCACACGCCGCAATAAAACCTCTTGTAGAGCAATCCTACTCAGAAGTAAACCCCACTGAATTCAATGGAGCTTACTCGCAGATACGTGGAGGAGCTTGCAGCCCTAGTCCTTGAGACTCCGGGTGTGCGAGCGTCAGGTGAGCTTAATCCCCTGGCAGAGGAGCGCGGCTGCTACCTCTCAGGTGTCGGCGAGGTAAAGGAACCGGGAGCAGCTTCCGCCCTCCAAGGCGCGGGGATAAAAATGCCGTCTCCTCCTGCCCCTTTCTCCCCCCACATCCACGAGACTTCCCTCCTCCCCCGCGGGACGGACACCGGGTTCAACCGCTCGGCGGCCCCGCCTCGTCTGTGATCTCAGCAGGGGGAGAAAGAGAGGCGGAAAGAAGCCTCCTCCCGGCCGGGCAAAGCCCAACCCGAGCCCTGCCTGGGGCCTGGTAGCTTCGCTTCGCCTTGCGCCTCCCCCGCCCGCCTCCCTCACACGCTCCGCTTTCTTTTTCCTCCTCACAGGCACTTCCTGCGCGGGGCCGGGCCGGGCCCAGTCGGGTGGAGAGGGGGAGACTGCTGCTGCTGCTGCCTCGGCGGAGTTAAAAAGGTATTGGGGAAGGGAAGGGACAGGCGGGCGGCGTCCGTTGACGTTCCGAGGGCCTCTGCCGTGAGGGCTTGAGGTGTCGGCAGTTGGTCGCGGGGGGGGGGGCGGCGGTCCCCGAAGAAGCCGCCCGTCAGGGAGGCGGGCGGGCGGGAGTGGCTCCCCGAGCGAACTGGCGCCTGAAGGTGGTGGGGGGGAGGCTTCCACCGAGGGGTCCCTCCCAGGCCGCCGCTCACGGGCGCTCAGAGGGGATTAGTCGGCGGCGGCCGTTGCTGCTGCTGCTCCTCGCATTGCTGGAGGGTGAAGTCATCGTGGCCATTGTCTCCCCTCAGCTCCCCGGCTGGGCCGCCAGAGGGGGGAGGCCAGCAACCAGCCGTGGGGCCCGCCTTGTTCTCCGAAGCCGCCGGGTAAATTCTCTTTCCCACCCAGCCCCCCGGGGGGGGGCAATACTGGACAGACTTTGAAACCCTCATCCACTCCGCGGGGCAAAGTCCGAGGAGAAACTCGGGGTGGGGTGCGGGGGGTGGAAACTCCATATTCGATCGCTTCCACACCCCAGTAAGTTTTTTTTTTTCCTTTCTGAGGAAAAGGACTTTGGAAAAACGCCCTCTCCTTTCTCTCATACAGCTTCGGAGCGTCTCTATTGCACTTCCTTCTTGTAAAACAAAGGTACATTCTCTGCCTTGGGGTGGGGTGGGGGGGCGGAATCTGAAAAAAACAGTATTTTTTATTAAAGACCCCTTTTAGAAGTTGTGACACAGAACCGTTTTCTGTCAGAAATGGGGCTTTCTGTAAAACCGAAAGCGTTAGAAAGACACAGTAACACGCAGAGCCGAAACTACGAGGAAGTTCACTCCCAGGGGAGGGGGAAATTTTCCACATCCACTCCAAATTGGGGCGAGACTAGCTAACTTTTGTCCTATAAAGGCTGCAGTGCTGCTGCTGCTGCTACTTCTTCCCTTTCCCCTCGGATTACAATTTATTGGGAATGTGGATATTCCGTCGTCCTCCCTTATCCTGCCTTTTGGGGCGGTTGAATAAGCTGGGTAGCCTTAAATGTAATCTCTTTAAAGAAGCTTGTGTTCAAAGGGCAGTCTGACATATTTAAATACTCTATTGAACTGTACAGTATTTCTCAGTGGAGGAGTATTGAATTTAAAAAACGAAAAAGGCAACTACAATGCAACTCACCCTGTAGGTGGTCACTGGCATTTCACTACTTATGCCTGGAACTCCTGTGAGGCTGACTTGGGTGATACCAGTGTCTGAAAAGTTTTTAATGAATAACAGCACAGCTTAGTAGCTTGCAGAAGTGGGATCCTTTTCATACAAGTGGACATGGGAGCTTTAATAATAAGCCCTGAGAGCTACATAGGCATCAGAAGTACATCTAAAAAGCTTAGGTCTAATGAAAGGAGAGCTGTTGCTGATCAAATGAACTGCACCGAGAGTTCAATATGAAGTAATGTGGAATTTCCCCATAGTATTTCACCAGCAACCACAACTGTACTGCCTGAGGGATCTTTTTGCTAGTTTCTTGGTTTGAAACCAAAACTTCAGAGTGTGCTTTCAGTGCCCAGATTGGAATGCTGCTGATTGTAAGAGTGTGGGGGAGGACTGACAATAGTATAACTTCTACCACAATCCACCTTTATTTCCACTTGGTGGACACAGAATTTGCTAATGTAAAACATGTTTGTAGGCACTGGTGTCACATCAGTGCAGTTAAAGTCACTGAGAGTTGCACAAAGGTCAGAGGGTGCTTGTGGAGGGGACTGTGGAATTGTAGGACTAAATGTGCTAATCATACATGGCCCCAGAACCTTATTGAAGTTCTGTAAGTCTCTCTTTAAAATAAAAACTGTTGTTTTTAAAAAGTGCAAGTAGAAGGACTGGTATTTGAGTTCTTACTTTTACCCGCTATAAAGTATTTAGTGTTCATGATAAGCAGATTCTGACTAAACAGATTAACTGTCTTAATTAACATGTTAAAGATGGAATAGTGAATGAGAACACTTCATTCAGTCACTATTTCAGTGAATTTGTCCAAACTAACAGGCTTAGTTTAGAAGTCCAGCTTTAGTCTTATGAATTTGAAATTGATTAAAATGAATGATCATAGGCACTGGCATTTGAAGGGGAAGGGATATAGTTCAGTAGTAGAGCACCTGATTTGCATATAGAAGGCCCCAGGTTCAATTCCTGCATCTTCAGGTAGGGTTAGGGGAGACCTCTGCCTAAAATGCAGAAGAGCTGCAGCCAGCCAGTGTGGATAATAGAGCTAGATGTACCAAAGTTTGGCATAATAAAAGGCAGCTCGGTATTGTCTACACCCTGAGGTTTTAGGCAGCAGTTTTAGTAGGTCTGCCTGGAGATGCTAATGATTGAACCTGGGGCCTGCTGCATGCAAATAAGATGCTCGACCACTGAGCTATAACTTTTCTCTTTTAAATACTAGGTTGAAAACAGAGAGGTCTATGATCACTGGTCATCAGTTCAAATTCATAAAAGTAAAGTTAGAATTCTGAACTAAGCCTGTTAAGATAGATTTACTTAAACAGTGAAAGAACAAAGTGTTCTCATTAGCTATTCACTGTACTCCTCGAATTATTTTTTGCATCACTATTGTCTGCTTGCATTTCTTTTGTCAAAGTTCATGTTCCCTTTTGTTCTCCTCATTTGGAGGGGGCTTCCATTTTCTGAAGAAAGTCTTATTGCCTCTTAAAAGCTTCCTTGACTCTGCTCATTAATTATGGTGACATCCCTTTGGCCTTGATGGTGCCTTTCCTTGTTTGCGGTACCACATACGTTCTAGCTACTTATAGCTTGAATAACCCTAGGTGCTCTGGAAAGATGTGATGGTCTTCACTTTTCCTTTCAACTTCCTTTTTACCAATCCTCTTTTTTAAGAAGTTTCCTCTTTTGAAGTCAGGTGTGACTGTTGGATTTTTTTGGGAATTGTCAACTTACATATATATAGAATTTGAAAGCACTGTGTAGTTGCTGTGGCCAGTTGGTTTGACAACACATATTGCATCAAGTCTTGAGCACTACGTAAAAGTCCAGGCTTGTTGCCCCTCTGGTTCATTCATATTTTAGGTACAGTCATTTTTGACAATGGAGTGTGTCTCCAGGGGTAAAGTCAAACTTCTGGACAATCACTGCACCTGCTACGGCTGCAGAGACTGGTAACTGGTAACTTAAAACTGCTGCCTCACACGTTGTTTTTGCTGCACTAGTGACCTCTACAGGGCCCCCTCTCAGCATTGTGGCTGTGTCACATGCTGACAGCTTCTGGGAGCCACAAAGGTACTACTCTTCTGCTGACACCCCATACACCCCACATTACACCTATACACAGACATTTAGGGATCTAGAAATTCTACCTCTTTGTCATAAGTGGAACATGCATGTATCCAGTCTTTAGAAGGGTAATTGAAGTTTCCTGTTACTACAGCAAGGTCGTCTTTTAGGGACGTTCTTGATTTATTAGCCACCTGAAGATCATTGTGGGCATTTTGGTCAGGGTTATCATAGTACGCCCCCAGTATTGAATCACACTTTCGGCCTTGGTATTGCTACCCATATTGGTTCTGTGAAGGTGGCCACCCTTTTGGGGGATATCTAGCTTGGTCTCCTTGATGTATAAATTACACCATCTCCAGTCCACCCTTCCCTTCCTTCCTATGGAATTTGCATCTACTGCTTAAGACATTTTTTGTGTATTGTTAGAGGGGATTCCTTCTATTGTTCATGGCTTAATGCTGTTTTCTCCTTTTGTTTGTATTTCAGCTCTTAAGTTCCACTTTCACTTAGTTGGCAAAAGATATAATGGACTAATTCAACAGATGACAGCATTACAAGATTGAGCATGATCTTTAAGGTTCCTCGGCTTAATATGTACATCTGACTGGCACATGGAGGTTGATTTCCTCCAAGAAGGTAATGACTCTTGAGTTGCATTGTATATATCACTCCATTTTCCCATAAATTAATAAATTTTATTTTCTGTATTGAAAACACATAAACTGTGTTAAATAAATGCCAAGCTTTGCAGCTATATCTTGACATGTATCATTCTTTTGAGATACGATTCCTATTTAAGATATGATTCCTAAGCTACCTGCATTTTGTTCTTTTTCTAGCTGTTCTGCTTTCTTTCACTTTTAACTTCTCAAGACCAAAAACCTCTTATGTCTTTATAGCTCAGTTTTTGCACAGCATTAATGCAATAAACATAATTCCTTAAATTGCAAGTTGCAAGATAAATATGTAAGCTGCTACCTTTTCAAGACTTTTGCTAAATCTGTCATTAAGCAATCTGACCTGGCATAGAATTATTTTATGACCTACAAATGGAACATTCTTAACATGAAGCAAAACCATGTGGCATATATCACCAAAAGGAAATATTGTATGGATATAGAAGTCTCTCCCATCCAGTATTCTGTGTCCTTACTTATGGCAGTGTCAGATTCTGCTGTAGAAGGCGTAAAGTCCTGTGCACATAGGTGAAAGAAAACAAAACTGAACTCACTCTTACCCTT